TAGAAGGTTTGATGGGAGGAACATCACTAAGTTCCTCAAGATTTATACATGTGAAATGGATGTGCATCGGGTTTTAGAAATGAAGATGATTACCACCTTTGATTTGGAAGTGGTACTAGAAATCAGAGAGATGGTACAAGAGTTGTATATTGAGACTATATCATAGAAGAAATTTGTAGAACTCTTGAAAGATGAATTTTTTGAGGAAGATTCAGAAAGAATGACAAAACAAATTTTTATGGAGTGGATTGAGCAAAGGCCATTGAATCGAATGGCTCCAAATAAATTAATCAGGGAATTTGAGACTAAGTATGGACAATTACCATGGCAAGAGAGGCAGCTCTTGGAAACAAGGAAAACTAGATTATTCTTATAAGCACTTGATGAATACTTGGAGGACAATTTGCTCTTTTATCTAGCAGATAAGACATCTGAGAGTGGTTTTACAAATAATTGGAAGCTAATAAAAGAGACAATGGGACTTTTGGTTAAACAATAGAAGATTAAGACTCGTGGTTTAATATCGAGATTGGAATTAGTGCCTACATCTCAAAATCAAGGGCCACTTGAAAGGGTGATCAAGACTATTAAGGATGATACTCTTGAAGAATTGATCAAAGGCGTACAAGATTTGAAGGTGGAAATGACTGAGTTGAAGAAATCTCGGATAGCAAATTCATCAAAGACAATTGAAGGCTCCAAAGGATTTATAGAGAAATGTATGTGGTGTGACAATTCAAACCACAAGCATGGTAAATGTGACAACTATAAAGGTGCAATTAAGGATGGTATTGTATATTTCAAAGAGGGCAAGATAAGACTCACAAGGTTAGATGAGCCTTTAAAGACTAATTTTGGGAAGGGTGGTATGAGAAAATTAGTGGAAGAAAAAATATCAAAGAATAATACTATACAAGGACAAGGAGCTGAGTCATATTCTATTACAATTGAATAAAAAGCAATTAAGGCTAGTTCCCTACCAACTACAGAAGTCATGATCAGGAAAGCTGAAGCTATCAAAAAAATGATTGGATGGAATGATCCAGTTGATGTTATTGGCATTAAAGCATACTTACATGAAGACAAACATGATGGTTTGCATGATGCTATGATTGAAGAAAAAAAATGATAGAGCTATTTGTAAAGAAGATGCTATTGAACTTGGAAGCAAGAAAAGATCTCCAAGTAACAAAAAAACTTATAAAGAGCAAAAGCTAGTGAAGGTGCCTTCTTTTGCTCATCTTGGAGATATATCAATATCAAAGGAATGGTGGAAGAAAGACAAAGTAAAGGAGAAAGATGATGTTAGCAAAGTTAAAGTTGAAGCTATAATGGCGGAAATATTGCATACTCGAGTAACTATGAATAAAAAAAAAGAGATTGGCCAGGTATTTGCTTTTAAATATGACCCTATGATTAATGATGGCTACAAAAAGGAATAAGAAATTGGCTCTAGTGATGCTGAAGAAGGAAAAGTTTAAGAAATAGAAGAATTTTTCAATGAAGAAATGAAAAATGAGGTTTTATAAATGTTTGCTTGAATAAATATGAGTAATAAAGGGATTGTTATGCATACAACATGTATCCAAAATCAAGGTGAATTTGAATATGGAGGAATATAAGGCTTAATAAAAGAAGCCCAGACCATCCAAATTCAAGAATATGTGGTTGGAGAAATAAAAAATGAAAAGATGGTTCACAAGGATACAAAGGTACTTATTTATGCTAATAACTATAACTTTGAGTGTAGTAAAGAAAGGAAGGTGGATTATTATCATTTATTTTGGACAAAGGTGAAGCTTAGAGAGCTTGAAGATATGATTTTAGCTTTGATTGTTCACGACTCTTAGAAAAAAATCATATCTAAGAGACTTTTTGATAGGAGAAAATGGTCTATTGATATTAGCCAAAAATGGATATTGAAAGTGTCACATAATATGAAGATATGTGAATAGAGATTTCTAATGGTACTTTCGACTATCAATATAATATATAGAAGAAATTTGTTTAAAGATAGTTTGAGTCATATGTAGTTGTAATAATGTAACACAATGAAACATATATATTTTATAAGTTGGGTGAAGCTATCATTAGAATTCCAATAGCAAGAAAGAGGGTAAAGGCTTTCTAGAGAGGAGATGGCTGATTTCAAATAGAAGACCTTGGAGAATTCTTACATCAATATTTGGACCAAGAAAATGAAGAAGAGTCTATGAGTGATTCAAAGAAATCTCAAGAGGATGAAGAGAAGTAACATGTGGCACATACTGGAGGATGTGTAGGTTTGGAGGAGGCAAATGTCATTTTGTAATTGCTTATAGTATGTAAAAATTAATTAAGATATATAATATGTTTGTAAGTCTTGATGTAGATTAAAGTGGTTAGCAAATAAATTTAAAGAGAATTGATATAGAAAAATTTATTTGGAAATTTATCTATTTTGATTATAATATTTATATTATATAGGATTTAGATATTTAGTATAAAGCCTTGAAAGGAGATTAGAGCCTAAAAAAAAAAAACTTAACTAATAGGAGGCTTATTGGAAGGGATGAAAACAAGGCATGGTTGAATGAAGGCAAGGAATGGAAAACTTCATTCCTATTGGTCGAAGGTCATATCCAATCAGCTTCAAGTACGCTAGCCGAGGCCATATTAGGGATTAGGGTTTCTTTTTTGAAGGCATTTGATCTTTGAAGGCTTAGGTCAGCAAGTTCAGGGTTTTGGGTATAATTTGGATGAAGAGTTTGTGTGATTTCTAGTTTTTATGAAGGAGATATAGGTATTCAAAGTTAAGGTGTCAAATTTGTACCTACTGTCACTCTTTGAAGCATAACATATGTGTAGAGAGAGCAATGAAAGATCGGTGATTGGAATTGTAGAGAACACTTTCTTGGCTACACTTAACATATATTGTTTGACGAATTCCAAATCTTGATGAAGGAGTTATAGGGCATTGAAGACAACACATGTAATTCAAAGGCAATAAGTGAGTCATTTTGTTGATAGTAATGGTTGGAGCCATATCTTGGATTTCTCGACGAAATTTTAGCTCAAACTTTTTATAAGTGTGAGTTATTAAGTTAAAAAGCTATAAATCAAAATTTCATGGTATTTGAGTACTTATTTTGTGAAATATGAAGAAAATAGCACGTAGATGTATGTAAGCTAGGATTTTAAGCTACTATTAGGGTTTTGGTGATATCTCAAGATCCGTAACGAATTTACAATTGAATTTTTTTGCAGTAGTTTTTTAAAGTATATCAATACTTTATGTGAAATTTACTTTAATTCACATAAAGTAAATTTCACATAAAGTATTGATATACTTTAAAAGATAACTTTACTTCACATAAAGATTAAGATTGTTTGGATAGTTTAATCGTGAGATATGAGCTATTGAAGTTTGGAAAATATTTCTCATAAGGATATATAAGGATTAAGATACTTTATCATACATTTGGATGTTTTTTTTTTTTGATACTTGGGCTTATGTATTGATGTAATTGCCGTAAAAGGGAATATATTATATATATAAACTTGATATTTTTATAGCTTAGACTTGATTGAGTATTTAATGGCACCCAAAAGCCCAGCACTTTCTTGAGGCAAACTCTCTCAACCTCGACAATGCCTTTCTAGTCTTAGTCTTGTTCAAGACTTTCTAATTTTCTTGTTTTTGCTATTAGCCATTCTAGTTAATATTACATCACCTTTAGAGTGACTTTCTAGTTCTCTTCAGTGATAGAAGAGTGTATTGAGGATTTTCTTTCTTTGAGATTCATGTCCTTGATACTTCTCCTCTATCATTCTTATTATCAATGCAATCTTTGTGAAAGCACCATTTGTATATGATATAGTCTTGATTGTGTGTAAATACATCAATACTTTGTTTTATTTCTTCTATACTCTCAAAATATTCCATTAGTGGTGCACACATATATCCCTCACTTTTTATTGCAAAATGCAATAAATTTGTAGAATATAGAATTTCCTCTCTTTTGTCTATTATACACAATTTGAAAAAGAACATACACTAGAATGAAATGAAAAAATAAATTGAATATAGACATACTTATAAGGCAAGTAAGAAAAGAGAAATAGAAAGATGTTATTACTAGCCATTGGAAATTATTGAGAACCATTGAAAATTATATCCAAAATGATGATTTTGATTATTCGAATGTAGATTATTGTCTTAATGATGAAAAAGATTTGTACTATCCATGTATAAAATACAGATGATGGGTGGGTAACTTTAGTGAAACTTTTTGTCACTTTATCATTCTCATATATATATATATATATATATATATATATAATAGTAAAAATATAATTTTTTTCACCACATATAAATAATCACTTGTATATTGCATTTTGACAAAAAAATTATTCTAAAAAATAATGTATATTTGAAGCATAATTTCAAAATTATAAAAATATTTTATAATTGTAGATTTAATTTTTTTACTATATTTACTCATTTAATTATAGTAAAAGTTAGAATTTTGTTGTATTAAATAAATCAATTTACCTTAAAATATTTAAATATTTTAAAATAGTATATTAACATATTAACATATGTTATCATATAGAATATTTACATATTAACATAATATTTTTTAGAATGAGAACTTATTAATAAAATAAATATGAACCTTCATCCAAGCGTCACAAAAGAATTCACTCATACATATACTTCGTGCATGATTCAATCCAGTGTATAAGTAACCTGCATTCATCCATCTGATTAACACTTACAGTCGCATATTATAGGCTCCATTTAGCTCGAATATTATGTATCTATATATATATATATATATATATGAATGTATGTTGCACGTTGCATGGGCTCCTGAAGAGGTTGGTCAGGGCGTTGCTTGCGGCAGAAGCAGCAGCCTCAGCGCCACGGGAGCTGCAGCGCTCAAGCGAGGGGAGGGGGGCATTGGGAAAGTGGGTCGCGGCGTGTGAGGGCGATGCGTTGATCACGTCCTAGAGCTGGCGTTAAGCGATGGTGTGCGCTCGCCAGCACTCAGGCGCGTCGTTGCCTTGCAAGGCCAGGCCAGGACCCAGTCAGAACGTTGCTTGATTGCTGTCTGGTGCAATCCCCTGGCTTTGGGACATGGCTGCATAGTCACACGGATCTCGCCTCCTCGATCGTGGGTGGGTGTGAGAATATGGGAAAGACACAGGGAGAGAAAGAGAGAGAGAGCACCACACACACTCACTCACGCTCTCTCTCTCTCACACACACACAAGTGCAGCTGGTGGGCAGGGCATGTTGGCCCACGTACCTCCGCCACGCATTAGCCGTGTCCGATAGTGGTCCCTTTCATCCTTTGCAACCAGCCCCAGCTTCCCCCCAATGCATCCATTTCTGTGCCCCCCGCGCTCACTCCAGCGACAAACATGCAACAAGGCGGAATAGAAGAAGAAGAAGATCGACAGAGTCTGTGTGAGGGTGGTTAGTTTCTTGCGCTTTTGCATTACGTGAATCTCAATATTACGTGAGGCTATAAGTATTGCTCATGTACAATGACGAGTGCAGATTATTTCACGTAATTTATTTATTAGTTTATTTATATGTTGTTGCATCATTAGTTGAATCGATTCATGCGTACGTCCTCCATGGTAGTCCTGGCCTCATGGTCCCAGAGAAGCCACAAAGCTGCTTTTCTGGAGCCGATAGAGACGCTCGTCTACGGCAGATGTCGTGGGATACACAGCCGCAGATTGCCACCGTATCCGTACAGTGAGGAACATCATCGCAGGAGTTATAGCTGCAACTCATCCTCACCTTGCACTGTACTCTTCACTTCATATCTCGTTTCCTGTCACTTCCCACATGACTGATGATAGTTTGAATCACACCAATGCTCACCTCATGCATTCCCCTGCATAGTCCACCTTAATAGTTGGGCACAGGGCACAGACGTTTCGTCTTGTTCAGGGCGTTTCTGTGTGCATGTTCATGAGGCAGTATTTTAAACGTGTTGCGATTGTTGATTCGGCTTAACTGGGTACGCCTTACAGAGATTCATATGAGTGGATTTCACATCTCGTTTAGATAGCGAGATGGAATGTGGTAGTCCGATCGGTGTTAACCATGTTCCTCTGTGGACGTCCTCGTGTATTGACATGAATTTGGGCTACAATTTTTTGGTATGAACGGGTGGTTTGAGTGTGTTTCTGGATAGATCTCTTGCACAGGTGCCATCTTGTACCGCGGTGCCATCAAAGAGGTTGGGTAACGTGCAGCGTGGTGAGGTTGAAATTCAAATGGTTTCGGTGATTTTTTCCATGCTTGTTTTTCCTGGTTCTGAAGGCCAGATTCGAAGAATAAGTTTGGAATCATTCAATGCTGGGCCGGATAGTTGCTTGTGTGTATGCCATGCAGTTTTCATCCATATAGTGACCCACGCTAACTTTGATGCATTGATAAGGAAAAACAGGCATTAGGTTTCTATCGGTTATATCCTTGTTGTCCTAAAACACTGACGTGTATTCTCCAAGTACTCTACTTCTAATTTCGTTCTTATCTTCCATTGTCAATAATATTTTTGCCTAAATGTTGTTTTGCAGGCGTGCGGTCGAAACGTTACAGAGCAATAGATTTCTGTGACTTGTTTTAAGGAAAACAGTTCATGAAGGACGAAAGACAACTTCGAGGCAATCAATTCGATTGTCTCGATAAAAATTAGCGGACACGCATTTTTCCTTGAGCTGAGACCCATTTCAGCCGTTGTGGTGTTGGATAAAGATACATAAAACATGGATACCAGAGATGGAGTACTAGACGCTATCCTAGTGCCTCTAGGATTATTAATTATTCTAGCATATCAAGTAAGGTTGGTCTGGAAAGTGCGGTGTGCACCCCTGCTGACTGCAATTGGGGTGAACCATCTTGCCAGACGGCACTGGGTCGAGAGTGTGATGAAGGTACGCCCATCCTCTGCATGTTTAGTGTCATCACCTTGCTACATATTCCTTTGTGCGCATCCCTCGATAGGAAACATCCATTGCCTATGAACTTAATTTGAAATAGACTTTCTTAAAATTGCGATGCAACAGGAGGACATTGCGCAGGCTGTCACAAAGATATGCCTGGGGTCCTATCAGTGGAATTAAAGCATTGATGCGACACCATGAACTCTTTGATTCAGTTTAATGTAATTTTTTTGCAAGTGGGTACATGTTAAAATTTACGCCTCCATGCTCCGAATGTGCTGCAATTCAGAGCACATTTGAGAAGGAATTTTCATAATTCATCCTTGAGACTATTGAGTGACGTACTGTTGAAATCTTGATTTTTGGACGTTACGAATCGGGAATAGGCAGGCCAAATAAAATTCATGCATTCATCTCCTATCTCAAAGGGGAATCAATAAGCTCAGCTTGCGAAGGGCTTCTGTTTACTCTCAATAAGGACGCTTTAGTCTGACATGATCATGTTGAGATAATTTCCTGCTGAAGATTCTTAACACCAGTTATGCATTTCGTTGTGCTGCAGGATAATGATAAGAAGAACATCCTAGCTGTGCAAAGTCTCCGAAACACGATTATGGGATCTACTCTCATGGCATCTACCGCCATCTTGATGTGCTCTGCAACTGCTGTCTTTATGAGCAGTGCCTACTTCAACACTAAGGAGCCGCTTTATGGTGGAGTCAGCCCCAAACTACTAAATTTCAAGTTCCTGTCGCTCATGGCATGCTTCCTTTTCTCATTTCTCGCCTACATGCAATCTGTGCGGTATGTCAACCATGTAAACTTCCTTGTAAACGTTCCTCTTCAGGAGGCCATGGCAATCCGCATATCCCCTCAGTACGTCTCAGATGTGCTCGCCAAGGGATGTAACTTCTATACTGCCGGAACTCGTGGATTCTACGTCGCATTCCCATTAATGCTATGGCTTTTTAGTCCTATCGCAGTGTTCTGTGGCTGTATTCTGCTTGTACCGGTAATGTACAACCTCGATGCATCTGGCCTTGACAGCGACGACGATTTTATCCGAAAAAACTCATTGAAGGTCAGTCTCCCTCGTCACTTCACAGAAGATGTAGCTGGTGTAACTCGTCCCTTCAGGTCGTGTGAGCTGAGGAAAAGTTCCGACGGCAACGTGCTAACTACATGCTCGGATCACTGGACAAGCACGGACTTTAATATCCGAGCCACACAAGAGCTTGGTCGATAGCTCACAGAGCGCAGCCATCGGCGAACTTGATAAATTAGGCTAGTGAGGACCCCCCCCCCCCCCCCCTCCCTCCCTCCGAATTCATCCTTGGCAAACCAACCCTCAGGCTCCCCATGACCCCAAAGGCGTATAAACCATAACCCAATTTCGTCCTGTGTAGAAAATTGACCAGGATAACATAGCAATCTCCTTCTGGTTTGACATCACCTGGACCAAACGCTCTGTGAAAGATGGCCCTAAGCTCTAGAAGTTTCATGTTTGAATGTACTGGTTTCAATGCAAGATGGCAATTAAGACTGCCTCAGCTCTTTTGACAATAAAGTTTGACAATGTGGGACAGCACGGCGTGAGAAACGTTGACATGAGTTTAACCGAGCAGTGCTCTGGTAATGTAATCCTTCACTTAGAAATAAATCAAAAGAGCTCAATAGCTGAGAGATGAGCACTGTTCGCGTGGGTACAATTTCTGTGCTTGTGAACTATCTGCCATCCTTGTGCTTCGTTCTTCAGTTCTATGTCTGCTTCTGGTGCCATTGCCGATTCAGATAGACAGAAAGTGCTATCGAAACCTCATCAGTCTTCTCTAGGTTTTTAGATCTGCAAGTTTTCTGCTTCTGTGTCTTGAGATGCAGCTTTCGTTTCAATAGAAATCTGGTGACGGTTGTGGTTGTGTTTGAGGTCTGGCTAGCTGCAATTGAATATGCTTGACAGGGTGTTTGTCTCCTCATGTGGCTCATTTGTTATGAACAAGGTGTCTTCACGGAAATCATGTTCCATTGTCATCCACTTTTGGATATTGATAAAATTTATCATGGACATTTTAAATTATATATATCTATATATATATATATATATATAGATGCATCTATAGTTCTGAAAAACATAAAGAAATAAATGTGGATATATATATATATATATATATATGTGTGTGTGTGTAAACAAAGATAGTGAACATTTGGTAATTAATATAGAAAAAAAAATAATAATAAACAATAAAAAAATAAACATTGAATTTAGTTTAAAATCATAGATATTTATTATGGTGATATTTTTTAATAAATAAATTTATAAATAGTAAATATTATATTCATTAACATATTTATAGTGTTGTTAATACCGCCATAATTTGTTCTTATTAATTTTTAAATTACGATTTAATAAAATTAACTTTACTTTCTAAATAATTTGAAAAAAATAAAATATAATAAATATATATATATATATATATATATATATATATATATATAGTTATAGTTATTGGAATAAAAAATAAAAAAAAAATGTATTGAATGAATGGCACATTGTGGTGGCAATAGCAAAAACCGTGGTAGCATTAACAAGTCCTTATATTTAAAGTTTAAAAATATTATAAAAATAATTCACAAGCTACAGATTATCCAAGAATTTAAATTGATGTTGTATAGAATTTAATGTGATAATTAATACGTATTTATCATATTAATTTAAATATTTTTAAATTCATAATAATGATAAATAAATAATTTTTAAAAATAATAATAAAATAATGAGTTTTTGAACCTAAAAATATTTTGAAAAAGAAGTGGTTAAGGAGTCTTATAAAAATATCTTTCTTAATTATGAAATTATACTTTTTAAAATATTTTTGTTTGAAAACAGTATAAAGTATGAAGAGATTATAAAATAGCTCATTTTTCAATATTATTGCTCTAAGTAGATCAATTTATTTTATTTTATTTATTTAAATTATTTATCTTCATCAAATCCTTATTAATTTATGTATATTTATTTTAATAATTATTAATATTATATATTATTAACATATAATTATTAATAGTAAGATATAATTTTTTAAAGAATAATTATTTTAAGTTATTATAAAATATATTAAAATATTTAAAATAAAATTTTTATAAAATTTTATATAAAGAAGATGATTAGAAGAATATCAAATTTTAAAATAATACTTTTAAATTTTTGTATAAGAATTTTGAATTTATTTTTTAAAAAATAAAAAATTTTGGAATAATAATAATAATATCTTTTTTTCATTTTATACAGGAAATTGATTGTATAGTATAAAGAGCTTATTTAGAAATATGAATGCACACCTAAAATTGTTATTGGAATAATTTTCAAAATAATATAAACATATAAAAATTACTTCTGTATAATTTGATAATAATATTAGATTTAGAATATAAGAAAAAAAAATATTAAATTTTTAATGACATAATTCATATAATGGGATTTATAAATAAATAATAAAGTTTAATATTTTACTAAAAATTAGCAATAAATATTATTTTTTTCAAATATTATTTAATTTAGTCTTTTTTTTAAAATTATAAATATGAATTTTATTTTTTGAGATTATAATTCAAAAAAATCAAAAGAATTTGTAATTAAATATACAAATTAAAAGGACTTTAAATCAATAAATATGGTTAGTTAATAATAATTTATTATAAGAATTTTTTGATTTTATGACCAATTAAAAATATTTTGTAAAAACATACATATATGATAAGCTTTTAAAGTAAGTAGTACATCTTTATATATAAGACAATATATCAAAATACCATCAATTCTTGGGTAACATATATTTTTAGCTATAAGAACAATTGAATTACTTTATATTATACTCCAAAGAGCATTTGCAAGTAAAAGCATAAAAAAAAAAATTAAAAATTGACAATAATGCACAATAAGTGATTAATTAATATGTAAATAAAATATTTATAATAATTTAAAATAAAATTTTAATAATCCATACTGAATACAATCAATATTTTTTACAAATTTAGCTTTACTTCAATATTAGATATTAATAAAATTAGATCATTGTATCGCAAATATACATATTTATCTAGATTAAAGGAATTAGATTGAAGTAATTAGAAGTAAGTAAATTCAATAATATCCTATGAAGATATAAATTTGAATTTTTACTTATTTGTGGATGATTGGTAGGTTGAAAACTTGGCCAACAAGTTGCCAGCATGTTGCATATGTATAATGACATGTGGTACAAATTAGCCACCTAGTACACATATAAGAAACTTGTCTTATAAGTTGGACACATGTTGGAGATTCTATAGAATATTGCCACATAGCTCCTAGTTAGATTGTATATATGAAATCAAGAGTGAGGCATTCCTCATTTTTTCAATGTATTTTTTTGCTTCTTAGTCTTATTTCAAGAGTCTCTAATCTTAAGTTAAGAATTAATTTCAAGAGTTTCTAATGTCTTTGACACATTGACACATTAACATAGAATAAATTAAATTAAACCTTAATTTCTTCTACTTTGAATTCTTTGTTGTAATACATTTTTAAAAAGAGATAGTAGTAATTACTTTTTTAATTTTAAAATAATAATTAAAGAATAATATTTAATAAAGAAACATAAAATATGAAAAAAATTATTAACATAAAATCATATGTTAAAATCTTAAGGTTTCATTAGATATATCTTTATTTTTGTATTAAGTTTTCTTATTTTACTTTTTGAATCCTCTGTTATTGAATTTTTAATTATTTAATATTTTTTATTTTTTTATATAATAACATTAATTGGCAAAAAATGGTATTTTTAGAGTAAAAAAAATATTATATTATTATATAAAAGTTTTACTAATGAAAAGAAATTTGTCAATATATTACAACAATAGTTGATTTTATGTTTCAAATATTTTTCCTATACTTCATTCATACTTTTTTTTTTCTATTAATTTGATAATAAAAAACTAACTATTATCATATCAATATTTAAAATGTTTAAAATATTCCTCTAAAGCCTTCATAAATATTTATATTCTTAATTAGATATAATTACAACAGAAGTCTATGATATAAATAAGTATCCACAAACACCTGATTTTATAATGTATAGGTGTTAAAAATGCTTCTTAATTAGAAGGATTTGGAATCAAGCTACTTTAATTGTGTATAAAATGGTTACTAGCTTTAGACTATAATAACAATACAGAGCATTTTCTTGGTAACAAGCTCTATTTGCAATCTAGTTTTGTCCAAGATTTTTAAAACTTCAAATTTTTTGGTTACTATAGAGAGGAAAATGTGATGATCTTTGTTTAGATCAATCATTACGAAGTTGATTGAATAATTGAAAACGATAAATAAAAAAATACATAAAAAAGTATATGAATTGTATAAATTTATCTTTACCAATAAATGGAATGTTTTCTAAATATCTAATATTATTCCACGACAAAAGAAGAAAAAAAATTGATGGCATTCTAATATAATACATAAAAATGTAATTATTTACACATCAATTGTGGCCCAGCTAATAAAACAAAGCGTATAAATTTCTTTTTTTATTATTTTTCTTTCATACATACACAAAAAGAATCCAGTTGTCAGTGAAGAATTTCACTGACCACCGACAAGGTTGTGAATCACGACAGTCTTGTGCTAACGTAGAAAGTTGCGTGCATCAATAACATTAAGATCTGAAGGAGTCGGTGATCGGTGTTTGCAATTCGGATCCATTTTTGAACCATAACACTGAGACCAGTTTGAATTGGCACTGGAGAATATAGCTGGGTCGAGCACGGTGAGAGAGAATGAGACAGACTGGGGGGTTTATTTGGCTTACGTGGGGAGTTTCTTTTATATTATTATTTCATGGATAGGTGCAAAATAAAAGTTGGCAGTTGTTGTTTTTCTTTTTTGAAAAGGGGCTATAATTAGAGGCCCACATTGATCTCATTCGGAGAAAATTAAATGACTGAAAGGTACAAGCAGAGTTTTGAGAACCAGGAAGAACTAACAGGGTCACTAACAAGATGAAAGAAGTTGCACGTTTATATCTTTGCTGACATCTAGCGCTTGACATTTTCTACAGGGGTGGATTCATTGCTTTGTCTTGTTTTTGCAGTTCCAGAATCATTTGTTAAGAAGCGTCTGCTTTAATTCTCAGCTTCAGCCTGCCTCATCTAAATTTCTCACTCCAATCACTTATCAATTTCTGCTATGCTTCCAGTTTCTCTATTCTCAACCTAGACCTAACTTTTCTGAAAGCGCTCAGAGTATCCGACATAATTCTTACCTGTCCACCATGATCTATCCTCCATTTGTACTTCAGCATGTGTTGAAATGCTTTTGAAGCAGTTAATTTTAAAGAAGAATGATGTAAAAAAGGAGGTCAAGGGATCCATTCAATTAAAGACATCAACACAAGTCATCACACCTTGCGTTCTCTCTGGTGAAGACATCAGAACACAGATTAATCTGACTGTGCATTGAACTTAGCGAAATGTCAATTTTGAAGAGTGAGCCTTAAATGAAGATTGGCGTCAGGAAGAACTCTGACAGGAGTGAAATATTCTTATTAAAGGACCACTAGGAACAAACGAAAGTTCAGTGGAAGTGACTGTTTCATTAAAAAACACATTTTATATCCATTTTCAAAGGTGCAACTAGATCTTGTTTACCACCATGGTGTGGAGCCCACCACTGGCTTTATTTGCACGCAAGAACACCTCAATCTGATTTGACCCAACCTCAA